CCTTTTCTCTAACGTTACTCAGTACTGGGTTGTAGTGGAGAAGGGAAACATTGTGTGCCTTTTCTACTACCCTGACTTAAGATACACATGCTCCGACTTTCTTCAAAACACCGATTTTAAGGCCCCCGATCCAATTGAAGATTAACTTTTTCAAGCTGCAATATGTGCATTTAAACACAACTTTTTATGTGGATTTTATTGAAGAGTCTTCTCCGACTTAAAATGTGACTACTGAATAAATGCTGTAATAACTCACCTTCAACATTCAGGATCCAAAACAAACACAAGGCGGCCCCTTTCGGATGAAGAATTAGGAAAACCTTTCAAATGAAGCGCATTCATCTAAATTTAAAAATATTCTTTTCTACCAAAGGAATGGGAGGATTGATGAGACACTATGCATTCAGACTGGCAGCAGCGGAGGATGATTTTAAGTATTTCAAAATTGGCAAAACAGTGATATTTTAATACATTAATAACAAATTTATGTAAAAAAATTGAAAAAAATAGTAAACATATCCAAAAACTAAATTATTTATAACTTTTATACAAAGACTTCGAAAGTACAGAAGTAAAACGATTTGGCAACAAAAATGGGATTTTTTTTTAGTAGTACCCAATTTTAGATTCTTTTTGTATGTATGTTAAAATAAGGGATTTACAACTAATAATGACTGTTATTCAGGGTGTCCCAGAGAACCCGTACCAGGCCTTTTTCTCGGTTGATTTAGGTCGGACGAAGTCAGCGACCGCGGGGTTAAATAGGGAATCGACCCCAAGAAATTCGAATTTTATGGTCTCGAAACTCCCCCAGTCCTCCTTGGAAGGCAAGGGGGGGGGGCGGGCCACGATCCTTAAAGTCGGAGCTCTCGATCAAATTTCGATTCGATTTCATTAGAATTGGAAAGTATGAAAAATTTCTCATGAAATCTACCTCATAAATTCCAAAATCGGACCACTTTACGCTCAAAAATGAGCCCTTAAAGAGGGGGACAGCGGTTCCTTCCATAATTTCCCTTTGGTTAAAAATGGACGCAGGTTCTACGGATAAAGATGGTTCACTAGGTAATCGACACTAAGGAATCCGATTTTTATGGTCCCGAAGTCCCCCTAGTCTCCCTTGGGGGATAAATGGAGAAGGCACAATTTCAAAAGTCAGGGGAAATTGTGCCCCCCATTTTAACCCCCCCCCCCACGGGAGGCTAGGGGGGCATCGGGACCATAAAAATCGGATTCCTTGGGGTCGTTTTCCTGGTTAACAATCTTTACCTATCCGGAGAATCTGCGTCTTTGACCAAGGGGAAATTATGGAGGGAGCCCCTGTCCCCCTCTATATGGGATCATTTTTGGGCGTAAAGTGGTCCGATGTTGGATTTTTAGGGATCAATTTCACGTGAACTTTTTCGTACTTTTCAATTTTAATGAAATCGAATGGAAATTCGATCGAGAACCCCGAATTCTAGGATCGTGACTCCCCATTTTCCCCCCAAGGGCGGCTGGGAGGTTTACCAGACCATGAAATTCGAATTCCTTAGGGTCGATTCCCTACATAATCTCGCGGTCGCTGACTTCGTCCGACCTAAATCAACCGAGAAAAAGGCCTGATCTGGGTGCTCAGGGACATCCTGCATAATGGGAGGTTGATGCACATGATTTATCAATGAGAAATTCTTGAATGCTCCTATTTTTTGTAATGTACTTATCTTTTACTGAGGAAATCAATTAAAATTTTTGTGAAAGTTCCTTTCCAAGGGAAACCAGGGACGTCCATTCGTTATTTTTATCTCGCACGTGTTACACCTCAATGACAGAGTTGCCCATTCTGCGAAATGGGCTCCATTCCGCGATCGGGACAAGTCGATTTTCGGCAGAGTAGGTAACGAAACCGAAGAAAGGCAAATTTCCCTTCGCACGTATCCAGGCTTAGAACTGGTAATGGAGGAAAAAATTGTAACATTTCAACTTAAATACCAACATTATAGTGAGAAGTAGAACCATTTTTTTCCTATCATTGTCGTGTTTAGAAATTTAAGAAATTGAGGTCAAAATATGAGTGTGCGAAAGTATCAAAATTATAAATTTGCTAAAAAAAAAAAAAAAAAAAAAAAAAAAAAAAAAAAAAAAAAAATTACGGAACTTCGGTGTTATTTCGGTAGGACGCGCAAGGGTGACAAGACGAGATGCTTTTAAAACATATAAAACCCAGTGCTGAATGTAGGTATGTGCAGCGCTTGGTTTCTGCAATCGTTCTTCTTGCAGTAACATCTTTTGAAGCCCTGATCGTGACCAACAAAGTGTTTTGTCACTAGTTCTCGTATGGTCAGAACTTCTTCCGGAACCGATTCGATTTTTAACCCCATGAATCTTGTTTCCTCAGAAGCGTTCGCCTTTGATGATGCCGCCTTCAGTGCCGCTTTTACAGTTCTCTTCCTTCTTCTCCATTATGACGCCGATCTATAGAGGGTCTTCCCTTCCGCAATCAAACTGCGAGACGGGAACCGCAACCATAGTCTTCAACGGTACAATGAAGCATTTTTTTTTCGCAGCCAGTGTGATATTTTTCCCCGCTCGTATTTTCAAATTGCGCATGCTGGCTGTCGCATCTTTACTAGTGGGTGTGAATCTGTCAAAGGGTCAGACTGAGGGGAGGCTTCATTCGTATTTTCGATATTAATTTTAGATAGCGATAATTATCGCTATCGATGTTTTGTTGATGTGTTATTGTTGTCTCATCGGTTATTACCGCCGTGGCTGATATGACTTCAATAATTAGTGGCGCCCCTTCTTTATTTTCAGCATCGAGAAGAAGAGAACTTGAGCTAGGTAGGTATGTTAAGAGACTATTTCAACATTTTCGACGTTTTGTTGTTGAGTTATTATCGTTTCGTCGGTTGTCACTAGCTTGCTTATATGCAGAGTGATTATCAGCCCTTCCGATTTCACACCCGTTTATTATGGCTATACTTAAGCATCGAATACCGGTGCTTACTTTTTCCCAAAAACCTGTCGGCAGAACAGGTACTTTGCAAACCGATTTTGGCCTTGTGCCCACAGAGTTGCATTTTTTATTGTCTCATGTTACGAGGTGTTGAGATCCCATTGCACAAATTTCAGCCCTCTTGCCCACCGTGGAGTTTCATTTTCTTTAGTATTGTCTTTCAGCCAATAAGCTCCATTAGTCCGCGCTACGAAAAGTGGCGGGTGAGGGGCGGAGCCAGTTGGCCGGTCCAGTCTATCGTTGAAGGGTTGAAGCGCACGTATTGGCCCGTAGTTAAGACGGGATAACGACTGGCCCAATACCTGCGCTTCAACCCTTCAACGATAGTCTGGATCGGTCGACTGGCTCTGCTCCTCACCCGCCACTTTTCGTGGCGAGGACTTATAGTGAATCCTTGACAAGGGCATTGCTTTGTCCCACTGAGCCCTAACTTTGAGGATAGCGGGGCCTGTCATTTACTAAAACTAAATCAGGCCAAAGTATAAAGCCAGCTCTTCTATCAATAAAGCGTGAACTCTGGTCCATTACTTATTGCTTTGCAAAATTTGGGGAGCACCTACTTACGTCTAAAAAATATTCATAAGAACATCGGCTACTCATTGTGCCTCTTTACTCTTTAATGACGTTAAGAAACCAATTTTACTTAACAACTCTTGATCATGTATTATCCACTTAAAATCACCATCGGTCAACGTTGGAAAATCGATTAGATCGGACCTGCCTTCTTTGATTTAACGAATCTGCGGTGATTGGATTGACCACAGCCCCAGGCCAGGTTTGTTTTCTCCTCATTTTTGCCGCGCATCGTTCATGTAATGAAGTATAACACACGGGTTCACGGGACATACATGCTTTATTGATAACGAGATGTCATGATCGAGGTACAAGTTGGCTTCTGCCGGTCTAACTGCCTATGACCCCCGCCTACTCGTCCACACACTGTTGCCATGTCGTGCAAGTATATCACACCTTCCTCTTTAGGGGGTGACATAATCCGACAAGTATTTTGGGGGCTTTATGTTTCGTTGAGGTCGTGATTGTGGGGGTTGATTGAAAGCAGCCTCCGAGTCATTCTCCAGAATTGACTTCCCTTCAATTTCTTTTGATCTGCTTGCCCAATATGGCCTCTTTGGGAGGGGAGGGGAAGAGGAGGGGAGCTTTTTGTGTTCTTGAGGGATGGGTTTAAGGAAACGCGTATTTCTGATTTTTTGTCTCCCTTTTACATCTTGGATTACGAATGAACGGGGATTGCTTGTCGCACTGACAATTTTGGCTGGCTTCCACTGAGTGCCCTTGGATAAATTTTCTTTGAAAAGTATTGATTGTGAAGGGTAGAAAGTGTGATTTGAGTCTTTTGCATGCTCATCATAATATGATTTGGCATTTTCAGCCTTATGGGCTAGGGTAGTGGGATGGTTTGGAGTAAGTGTGGGTTCTAGGAGCTCATCTTTTATCGGAAGAGAGGTTTTGCAAAGACGACTGAACAAGAGCTGAGCTGGAGAATGGGGTGTTCCTGATACGGGCGTATTTCGGTATTCTAGAAGCATTAGGTTGATGTCTGAGTTTGTGTCATCACATTTTTTGAGGAGATTTTTGCAGATTCCTACAGCTTTTTCGGCTAGTCCGTTGCTCTGATGGTAATGAGGAGAGGAATATACAGGCTCAAATCCCCAGGATTTGGCAAAAAGTTTGAATTCTAGGGAGTTATAGGGATTATTGTCCGCAAATACCTTGACAGGGATGCCATGCACAGAGAAAATCTTTTTAAGTTCTGCGATGACTGCAGAGGCTGTCTTCGAGGGGAGCTTTACTAACTCTATCCATTTGGAGTACATATCTACTAGAACTAGGTAGTCTTTATTTCCGTAGTTGAGAAGATCACTGGCAACATATTGAAATGGACGAGATGGCTGTTGTCTAACAATCATTGGTTCTTTTACATTGTTTTTGGCAAATTTTTGGCATGTCTTACAACTAGATACATACAGTTCTATGTCAGTATTCATTTTTGGCCAGTAGAAAAGGTATTTTGCCCTAGCTTGGTTATACCAACATGGGACTCATGAAGTTTTTCTAGTATTGTTTTGCGCATGGACTCTGGGACCACTAGTCTATTGTCTAGAAATATGAGCGATTCCTCTATTGAGAGGACATTTCTGTATTGATAAAATAATTTTAAAGGGATTGGAACTTTCGTTTCTGAACTCGGCCATCCATTTATGATTAGAATTTTCAAGGAGATGCTGATTTTCAGAGCTGGGTCTTTGTCAGATTCATTCTGGAGTTGAATTCTAAGATCATCTGATACGTTCAAAGAGTGCACAATTTCATTTAAGGATGGGTCTGTGTCTATATGAGGGGATCGGGTTGAACATGCTCTACTGAGAGCGTCTGCGATATGCATTTTTGAACCTTGGAGGAATCGCACATCCATGTCATAGATGGTTAATTTTAGCCTAATTCTTTGGAGTCTAATGGATGGAATTCTTATGATGTCTTTTTTCATTACTTTCACGATTGGCTTGTGGTCAGTGTGAACAATGATTTTCTGACCATAGATGAATGAGTGAAAGCGTTTACAGGCATACAAGACTGATAAAAATTCCTTCTCTATTTGGCTGTATCTAATTTCAGTGCTAGATAGGGCTTTGGAAGCATAACTAACTGGTTTCCCTTGTTGCATGAGGACACAACCTGTTCCATTTTTGCTGGCGTCTGCCTGTATCACTATTTGTTTGTCAGGATCAAACGTTTGAAGGACTGGGTGATTAATAATGATTTGTTTGAGTTTATTGACTGTTTCTGAGTGAACATTTAACCATGTAAAAATTACTTCTTTTTTCAGCAGTTCTCTGAGGGGAGCAGTTATTTCTGCCACGTTGGGAATGTATGCTCTTAAATAGTTAATCATTCCTAAAAAGCGCTGCAGGTCTTTTTTACTAGAGGGCATGTCGTAGTCAAGAATTGCTTGAACTGATTCATCATCCGGCTGAACAGTGCCGTTACTAAATACCTGACCCCAGTAATGCACTCTCTCGACCATGTATTGGAACTTTTTTACATTGAATCTGATGTCATGCTCTCGGGCTGTTTTTAAGATTTTCAACAGGGTTTGTTTGGCCTTTTCCTTTGAGGTATCATAGATCAGTATGTCGTCAATGCAGATTAACACGTTTTCTATCCCTCCGAATATTTCATTGTTGCATTTCTGGCAGACTTCTGAGGCAACATTTACTCCAAAGGGGAGCCTTAAAAACTTGTACGTTCCAAACATTGTCGAGAAGGTGCATAAATTTGAGCTGGCTTCATCTAGTGGGATGTACCAGAATGAATCTTTGAGGTCCAGAACACAAAAAATTTTTGCACTTTTAAGTTTACACGAAAAGTCATCTAGAGTGGGTATTAAACAATATTCTTTAACAATTGCTTCATTAAGGTCTTTTGGGTCTAAGCATATTCTCAGGTCTCCATTGGGTTTTTCTACGGTCACCAGCCGATTCACCCAGGAATTCGGGTTGTCTACTTTACTAATTATTCCGAGTGACAGGAGTCTATTCAGTTCTTCTTCTAGTTTGGGTCGCACTTTTAATGGTACTCTGTGGGGTGGATATGAGGAGGGGAGTGAGTTGGGCTTAAGTTTGATTGAATATTCTTTATTAATTCTACCTACGCCCTGAAATCTATCTTTGAATTCTGAAATAATAGCTTCCTTTTCTTTTAAGAGTTGGGAATTTAAGATTGATTGTGGATCTTTTGACTCATTGGAGATAATTTCATCTACAGATAAGCGCTTAACTAGTTGAAATTTGGTACAGGTGTCCCTAGACAGAATTGGAATTGATTGTTCATTACCTGCAACATAAAATTTTTCTTCTGAGGCACGGTTGCCAATTTTGATTTTTAGGATTACTGTTCCTTTCACTTGGGTCTGGGAGCCGTTCCAGCTTTGTACCCGCGACGGGGACCAGCGCAATGTTAGCGGAGCGAGTTCTTTCAGTTGAGAGTATAATGGCACTGGAAGAATGTTGATGTCAGCTCCCGGATCAAGTTTGAAGTTGACTTGCATCCTGTCTTCTAGAGTTGCTGTTTGCATCCATGCTTGTGATCGGGTGACTTCAGGCGGTGCTTCATGGGTGACTGAACCACAAAAGTATTCTTCAGAATCTTCATCACTAGAGTTCATGCAGGCCTCGTCCACTTTTTTCGGTTGTTTCTTTGATGGTCTTTCTGGTTGATACTTTGATTGTTTCGAGCGGCATACCTTGGCAAAATGATTTCGGCCTTGACATTTGGCACATGTTTTGTTGCTGGCTGGACAATAGTCTGGGGTCCTGTGTTTGTAGCCACACTTCTTGCAGGTTTCTTGCTCAGGTTGGTACGAGGTTTTAACTGAGTCAACTGTGGAGACATCGGTTGTTGACTGTGATATGATCTCTCTGACCTGGGTACCTGCAAGTTCAGCTGCTCGTAGGGTTGTTACAACGTCACTCAGGGATGGATCCCCTTTCTTGATTAACTTGGTTTTAATGTCTTTATCATTTGAACCAAGTACTAGTCTATCACGCAACATGCTATCAGAATCATCGAAGGCACAATCCATCAGCAGTGTTTTCAAGTCTGTGTGGAATGAATTGACGGATTCCCCTTCTTTTTGGTTGCGAGAATAAAAAAGAAAGCGAGAGTGCAGAGTGTTCTTCTTAGGGTTACAGTACTCTTGCCATGTCTGAAGGACCTCTGCAAGTTTTGTATCTGTTTCTTTCTTGATGGTCTCATGAACCCGTAGGGCTTCTTCGCCTATGAAGTTGAGGAATATTGCGATTTTCCTGGAATCATTCTTTTCATCTAGCCCAGATGCAATTAGGTATATCCTAAAGGCTTCCTTGAAGGTCTTCCAATTTTCACTAAGATTCCCATCGAGGGATAATTTCGCCGGGATGTTGTAGGCCACTGCCATGGTTCCTGAGAACGCGGGAGTAAGTCTGTTGGTGGCGGTTCGGGTTCACACACTAGAGAGATTTTCACGCGAATAAGACGTGCTGAACAAGAGTCACAAACAAACAAGATTTATCACAGAGCCGTATCATTCAGTATGAATTTCACTAATACACGAGGTTTGGGCGCACGAGAGGCTTGTTGATCAAGAGTGAGGTTAGGTAATTGGCTTTGGTTGCGAGAGTTCACTGAATACGGGATTGCTAGCTCGATTTAATTCTAGTCGCACTATGTTGATGCTAGAGATATCCGACTGCGCCATGTAATGAAGTATAACACACGGGTTCACGGGACATACATGCTTTATTGATAACGAGATGTCATGATCGAGGTACAAGTTGGCTTCTGCCGGTCTAACTGCCTATGACCCCCGCCTACTCGTCCACACACTGTTGCCATGTCGTGCAAGTATATCACAGTTCACACTGATAATAAGCTGTAATAAGATACCTAGGAATATGACCCTGAGTTTCACATATTTTTAAGTATGTTTTTTCTTACCTTTATGGTTCAAGAAGGTATGAATATCTGTTACCATGCCCGGAGCTCTTGACCTGGTAGTCATAAATTTCCCATCCTTTCGCCGGGATATTTTTGATCTACCCTTAAATTCTGCAATTTCATATTTTTCTCGCACGTCGTAAAAATTCTTGGCCGCTTTAAGTAGGTACACCAGTTTTCTCATCATTAAGCGACCGTAATACTCCTTTTTCGTACTCATCCTGTCCACGAAACACCATAATTGTCATATTCAGTAAACTTAATCATATTTTACCAGTACGAAAAAATGGAGCAAACATTTTTTGGCTGTGAATCCTACAAGTAAACAAATCTCAAACAGCACTGAGAACAACAGAAAATCACCGTGTCGAGTTGGTACCAGCTAAATAACTTTACTGATGGAGATCGAGATGCACTGTGGCGCAGTGGCGCACACCATGGTCCCATAGCCCGACCTAGCGGCATTAAATTATTTTGTAGGTACCTTATGTTTAAACCTTGCAACATTAGTCATTAGGTAGTAATTTTTTGGGTTGCTGAGTTCAAGTATGCGACTATTTCACAAAAAAATCCACTTTTAAAGTCACAGCGTTTCATAAATTAGGTACCGTATTTAAGTGGTGACAAAAGAGGTGTATGGAAAAACGGACAAAAATGGCCAAACGCATTTTCACATTTTGAACGGTTGACGTGATAAAGTAACTCCTGAGACGGTTTCAACTGGTCGCGGTTTTGCTAAGAAAACGTCGTGTTGCGACGTTGCCATTTTTTAAAGTGAAAACCTTGAAAAATCCATAACTACGCTGCATCTCAACCGATTTCAATAAACTTTTTCTTGAAATGTTTCTCTTAAAGCTTTCGAACGGTGTATAGTTATTTGGGTTTACCTCCTTGGCACCGGGCGGGACTTACGCGGTTTTAGCAGTTTTTGTTAAAAACAAAAATTTGGTTTTCCTACTACAGTCATGGAAACGGCGGAATATGAACAAAAACCAGTCGACATGAAAGTTCAACCTATCACCTCTCTACCAGGCACAAGATCATCTTAGGGAAACGTTTCGTTTCTGAGATCCGACCGCTCAAAGTTGATCAAAGTTGGTTTTATGCAATCGGAAACCACTGACAGGATTGCACGGCGGTCAATCAATCGTGCAGGAGGGCTCTCTTATAATCCATGTATTACAAGGAATAGCCAGACATCTGATTTAGACAACTTTTTAGCTCAGGTTTCCGGGTTGCAATAATGCCATTACTGAAAGCGAAAATATTTAAAAATTCTTAACTTCGCTGCATTTTAGGTACCCGAATTCAAATTTCTGTATCAATCAGAAGAAAAAGTTACTTGGGTGGTAAATGACTTGGATACCCCTTTATACATACAGGGTGTTCCATAAGTCCCGCTTCCCCACTCCCCGCCCCCTAACTTTTGAGCCGTTCCAGATACAGAAACGAAACTTTGGGGATGTTTCTATCTCAAAGGAGACCATCTGCTGAAGGGGTCAAAATTACATCTTCCTCGGGGGGTGGGAGGCCACAACTTTTTTTCTGAAATGTTACGTCTACTTTGTGTTGTGATACCACTAAGAAAGGACATTAAAAACTAAGAATTTTGGCACCAACCAATTGAAACTCGGCCGATATTTGAAAGTATTCAGCATTTTAAAAACTTAATGCGAAAGAGTCATTTTTTGCGACCCAGAAACCACCAGGGCACCGATTTGCATGCGAATCCATCAGTAAACGTCCGTAATAACAAGTTCCCGACTTTTTCTTGCAAACTGGAAACTTCTTTCTTCCCGAAAAAACACCGCAAAAGTCCCGTGATTTTTTGGTAAATGATAATTTTGATACTTTGGCATGTTTCCTGAGACTATAATATTTGAACCTCCATTGCCTTCATTGTTAAACACGCCAATGGTAGAAAAAAAATTTCTTCCTCTCACTACAATATTGGTCTTTAATTAAAATGTCGAATTTGTTTCGTCCATTGCCAGTCTTAAGCCTGGCTAAGTGTGAAGGAAAATTTGCCTTTCTTCAGTTTCGTTATTCTTTGTTCCAGTTCTGATAAAATCGACTTGCCCCGATCGCGGAATGGAGCAATTTTTGTTTGTTTGTTTGTTTGTTTGTTTTTTTTTTTTTGTTCATTCCGCGTAGTGGGCAACGGCCATACCCATTCTGCGGAATGGGCAACTCCGCCATCGTTGCGCAACATACGTATAACGATTATTTCTCTCATTATGTAGGTAAGAAGATACTTAAAATTGTTTGGATACCTTTTTCAAAAAATCCTATTCTCGTTATTTAATCATTCTGCATTCGTTGTATGTGTAATGCAGTCTTTACATCAGCATTTTCTTTTTTATATATATATATTTTTTGAAAAAGAAAAGTTCAACTCTCTCAAGGTTGATTTTACGAATTTTGGAATTTTTTCTAGTCTAGAATGTATATATAGGGTGTCCCAAAAGTCCGTACCCCCCTCGTAACTTTTGAACGGTTGAAGATAGAAAAACGAAACTTTGGGAACGTTTCTATCTTAAAGGAGACCATCTCCCAGGGGGGGTCAAAATTTTTGTCCCCCCCCACAGGGGGGGGGGCTCCCCCTAACCCCTATCTTGTGATACCTCATTCGAAAGAGCATAAAAAACTAAGAATTTTGGCGCGAACCGCAAATCAATATCTTAATTTTTGACCGAGTTATGATAGGTCAAAGGTCAAATTTGACCTATTTTCAAAAAATCATATCTCCGGTCAAATTATCGTAAAGAAAACAATAAAAGAGGAAAATTTACCAAATTGTAAGCAATTTCAAGTAAAAATCACAGAAATTACTTCAAACTAATTTTAAGGGAGGTTTTGGACCCCCAAATACGTAATTTTAAAGGTCATACGATATTCTCGCGAAATGAGCCAATAATTCCCTTTCTCTTCCTTAACATTATCTTTGTAAGTTCAAAATCAGTTCAACACTAAGATAGAAACATTCCCAAAGTATCGTTTTTCTATCTTCAACCGTTTAAAAGTTACGGGGGGGGGGGGGGTACGGACTTTTGGGACACCCTGTATTGCTGGTGGTCTGAAACTATAAAGCCTTAGGGCATTCACTCTCCTAATGATTGAATATGATGGAGTATTTTTAGGTACATTGTAATACTTCGTTATGTCTCACAAGTTTTACATTAACCAACTCAGTGGCACATTTCCTTTTTATCCCTCCTGTCTTCAATTCTCTCCGGCCTTGGTATCTTGAAACCATCAGTGACACAACTATTTCTATTTTTGTCGAATTGCTTTTCCCCATTCTCTATCTAGTATTTATTCAGTCATTCTGCCCTTGAAATGTACTAATCTCCTGTTGGTCTTGCCTCTCGATGATGAAAAGGAAAAAAGTACAGCTGGGGATTGTACCGGTAGGAAGTCTCTCGAAGAAACCGAGATTGTCAGAATGAGAGGAATTAGTAACAAGGAAGTAACTTCCGAGCAAATTAATTTTTACAGAATAGCATGATTTTTTTTTCCTCTCTTTTTTTAATCAATCATCTTCGGGGAATCCGCATCAAACAGGACCCGAACAACTGACGGCAAAAAATTCGGGAAAAGATTTGATGCGAGCCTGCTGTTCTGTTTCATTCTCCTGCGTAGGTCTATGCTTTATACAAATCTTTTATGAGTCAAGAATGTTTTTTTTTTACAGTTTAAACCTTGACGCCTCCTCTTCTCCTATGATTATCCGATTTCCAATAACTTGAGTGTTATGGACCCAAGAGGCAATTCTCTTTTGAATACTAAAAAAAATATTCAAAAGATCAGATTGAGGATGTAAGTACGGCCCATTTTCTGGTACGAATCTCTACTGGCCGGGTGGCAATTGTCAAAAAATTTTGAACCAGGCTTGTCAGTCCTGCGAGAAATTCTTGGTTTTACGAGTAATGGCAACAAGATATACTAGGGTGCACCCATATCTGTATAGGTATATATTTTTTTATCTCTCCGTAGTAAGTCACGCCAAATTTTAGTTTTATTTTGAGGGTCGGTTCTCTGCTTCTTAACGCAGAAATAGAAACTTACTTAACACTGTGCCCTGAGAAAGGAAGAAGAGGAAAACAATAACATTTTTACAAAACAATGAGGGCAAGATCATGGTGCAATTCCTGGGGAGCATTTTGAAAATCAGAATTACAGCAAGAAGAATAGTCTATCTAAAAGAAATCTAAAAATAAGTCCGATGCTGATGGCAGTCATCTGCAGCTGAGAAGACATTTAACTGTTGAGTGCCACAGGATGATAGCGAGACAGAATATTGAGAACGACGAGGTACTGTGAGCTCTGTTAGCATCTAGGCACTTACCTGTAAAAAAAGCATCATTACTTTCATTTCCTCCACGAACATTAAGTACCTATGATGTAAAGAGACCTGTCAAGAAAATCCTAATATTAATCCTAGAATCTCCCCCTCCTAGAATCTTTATTCCATAAAGTGTCTTTTTTTCTTGGTAGGTATTAAATACCACATAAGATGGGTAAAATAAAAAAGCCTTCGCAAGGAGGGATATAGTGTAAGTAGAGGGAGGAACAGTAATGAGTAGGTACCTAAGCATTACCTGAATCCCTAAGCTGCTTAAACGAAAGATAATCACACATCTGAAAGAAATTAAGTACCTTCCCCTCGTGAAGGACTTTTCGAAACTTCCTTCCAGTCAAGATCCATCCATGTAGGTAGGTCAGTCATTCCCTGATCCAAAATGAGAATCTTCTGCGCATGACGTCAGTATTATTGATTACTGCCGCGGAAGCCAGAAAGCTAGGAATCAATGCTTTTCTTATGAGAAGAAAGCTAATTTTTTATTGATGAATCATTTCAATATCTTACTTTTAAACCGTTTGAAGCTTTTTGAGAGTCTAAAAGAACGTTTAGACATTAGCTTTCAGGGTTTTGATTTTGCCAAATTTACGTTTTTATAATTCTAATTGATTTTTGAAGTCAGCGTAAGCTGCACGAGCCATTTTGTGATAAAGATTCAGCGTGTAAATATAGGTGATGCAGAGTCAACTGTAAAAATGAAAAAACAAAAGTTTGGCAAAATCGGAACCCTCAATGCTGATGTCTAAACGTTCCTTTCGAAACTCAGGAAGTTTCAAAGGATTTAAAAGTAAGGAAGAGCGACGCTAAAAACAGCCATTTTTGACACAATTTCAGACCGCGGGGATTTTTCTGGAACCGGGCCCAAACGATACCATATGATACCCGAAAACTCTGGTAAAAACTTTAGCTTAAGGATACGAACGGTTTTTAAGTAATAGGGGGGGGGGCAAAGTTGCCAAATCGTTTTTACGTTAAGTTCTCCGACTCTGATTTTTTACGAGTGTTCTTACGTACATCCTTCGTACTCGTATTTACCAGTTTTAATTTTTTTTTTTTTTTTTCGAACTTTATTACAAGATGTGCTACTAGAGACAGATTTACTTCAATTTTAAAAAGTTTCGACGGAGGATCTTAATTTTTCTACCAATTCCCCCATTTTGGACCACTGTGCAATGAAAATTTGTAAAACTGAACACAGTTTTATGCATTGAGAAAACATGAGAACAACATCTGCGCAATGACTGACCTACATGGATAGATCTTGCTTCCGGTGCTGGCTGAGGATTGGTACATCGATAGCTCCGAGAAGTAAGAAATTTTTCCGCGCAGGGAGCGCCACCGCTGTGTTTTGATTTTGAGGGTCACGTCATTAAATTTCGTACAGTTTGACGTAAGTGCTTGAACTTATATAAAAGTACCTAAAGGGATTTCTGTTAAAATCGAAGTGTTATAAGTTCTAGCTATGACATTCTTCTTCCCTTTGGCACTTTGTAAAAAAGATATGAATAGTAAATTCTGGAACTCTGTAACCTATTCCTAGAAAAAGTAGAGGGAAGCAATATGACCTTGATGCGACAGATCACGAGTGATCTCTCTCAGCGGTCGCAGATATCTCCCTCCCACCATGAACTGTCCCTCTCGCACCTACAGGCATCCCATAAGAGATATTGGGATCAAGTTTCAGTCTTTATTATAATTATACTTAAAATGCTCGTGTTTGGTTTTGAACATTCCTGACATATCGACGGTATGGGTCGGCAATCACATAACTTGTTTGCTGTGTCTGAAAATCTCCGCCTCTATGTTATTTTTTTTAAAGGAGAACAAATTAACATAATTCCTTGAAGTGTTTGCAGAATTTTCTTCGCACAGAGAAGAAAAATCACGGCAATTTTAAAGAATTGCCGTTGGGTAGGTATCCATATAGAAAATAAAATATGATAGGAAGTCTGCGACGTCGCAAACCGAGTTATGTCATTGCCGACTTACACCGTCGATATGCTGCTGGAACTTGTAAGTCTCAGAATTTAATGCATCTGTTGTAATTTTTAAAGTATCACGGATTTCGGAGTCAGATTTTAGCAGCGCGACGTGACTTTTTCAAAACTACAGCTGAAGATCCACCTCAATACGTCCCCTTAGTGAGCTAAATTAACATTAAATCACGAACACCAATGCTACCCGTTGCTGCTATTATGTCCTCAAATCGTCCAAAAAGTAGCCCTCTCTGATTGAGATTTGATGTATCAGAACCCCGCTTCGTCACAATGGTATGAATGCTTTAATTTAAAAGTACCTACATATGTTTAAAACCATTGTGATAAATTCTCTCTTCCTTTAAAGTTGTGTGAATTATTTGAAAAAACATCTAAGTAGGGGTAAGAATCATCAGTTTGTGATTTCTGAAAAAAGAAGCAGCAGTTTAACTTTTTGGCGAACATAGGTACAACGTGCAATTATTCGATACATACGACCCAAGTAGCATTTTTCAATGTAAAAGTTTCAACAAGTTGAAATAATGTTGGTATTATTTGCAACAAAGTTGCAACTTACGGTCAACTTTTGGTCGATAAGTGCCGATTTTCGGCGATCTGATCGGAAGACAAAGTTGCAACCTGCTGAGATTGCAAAATTGCTGAACCAAAAGTTGTTTAAAATCTAAAGATAGGCAACCAGCAATACTTTGAAGTTGAAACATGTTTCAACTTAATTGCAACTAGTTCCAACAATGATAGCTCCTTCGGGGGAGAGAGTAGGCAATCTGCACATCGATCTATTAGTTGCAAGGATCAAACGATTTTGTTGCAAGTTGTTGCAACCTCTGCTACTTGGGGATTTATTAGATACGAGTATTTAATACTGCATAAAATATACCTATCGGAAATGTCCCAGGGGCCCCCATGAACTTTTCATGGAGATTACATAGGGGCTTATGGGAGCTCATGGATACCCGTGGGGAAAACCGGGATGCCCATGGGGAAGACTAGGGTGCTCATGGGGGAAACTGGGACGTTCATGAAGAAGACCGGGGTGCCCATGGTTACGTCAGGTTTTTTTGTAAGCCAAACTACCATTTACCTCTGTGGGACATTTTTAACAGGGTATAGATATTGAATATGGTATCCACTACTAGGTATTAGAATTTTCGCTGCTGGGGCAATCCATTTTTCGCCAATGAGCGTTAACATCAATATTCAACATCGTGAAATTTAATCAAGAGTATACGTCAGCCTACCTATTAAAGTAATATTGAGGTTGATGTCATCATCAGGAAAGGAGGCACCATGGATGGCATGGGCGGGCAGAGCAAGATTGCCTCGCCTGCAAGTGTCGGCGCTGCTGGTGAAGCGAAGTGTGGTACCGTCCTCTGTCAGTCGGTACGTGAAACAATAGCGGCGAGGCCCCCTGGAGCTCCTGCTAAGAGGTGTCGTGATTAGGTAGTGCTCACTTCCGTTCTCGCTCACCCAACCGCCATGACACGAGTACACTGTAGAAAAATAACATAAAGTCTCATCGTTTCAAATCATAGGATAATTGGCAGCCAATGTTCCACGTTGGAGCAGTGTCTTCATTTCTCTCGCATCACACGGATTTTTGATATCAAGCGTTTGTCTGCTGACTAACCCAGTAAGATGGAATGGTGCTTTTCGATTGGCCAGCTGTGTCAATCGGACAATCTGCTATCACAACACGAGAGATTGATCGGGCCGAACAATAGACTGATTATCGGCCAGGAAAGAGATGATTTTATAGCGAGCCGATAACTTGGCACGACAAAGAGCTCCAATAGACATCCCGGTGTTTGCCCGTCGTGCGATAGACACAGCCGACCAATCACATACCTATCTTCATTTCCTACAAGTCTCGTCATATCAAGTTAACGATATCGTTATGCCCATCAGACAGGCACATGAAAAAATCGTCCTTGCATGGATCGAATGAGTCGGTTAAAAGTGTTAGGTTAAGGTTATATTCAAAAACTAGGCAGCTAAATCCGGGACATTTCTTCATGCATGGTCGCCATTTAGGTATTTATGAAAAAAACTGCAAACAAGGACTTTAAACGTCATTTTATCCAAATGGTGGCAGGCAAAGCCCCAGTTGCATGGGGTGTATGGAAACTTCAGATTTAGCAACCAAAGAATCATGAAGTAAAGCAATAAAAATAGCCGTGTACCTACCCGAAATTCTAGCTAACTTTATTTTTAGCAGGCGCTTGTCAAGAGCATTTCGCGAGAAAGTTACAAAAATTCACCGAGCAAACCAGTAAACCTATGTTAAATACCAGCTTTCTTCAACATTAATTGCATACATCAAGCATCACAAATAAGATTTTTTTAGGATTAAATCATTGCTAATTATTCATTAATTCTTGGTTCTTTTATGAAGTATCCAATGCAAATTTTCTCGGCTCGAATTGACAACGGTTCAGCGCTTTAAAAGGGTTGGAAATAGCTTAAGTTTTTTCATTCAGCTAAAACAGGCATGGATGGGTCAGAATGAATATTTTTATTTATCCAGGGGCGTTTTTTCATTCTTAATAAAATACATGAACTCGTCGGATTCATTTCTAGCTTCATCCATCGAAAATTTCATACCTCACTTTTTCATGCCTACCTATTCGACTAAAATTTAACAGGAACTGTCACGAAAATTTAAAAAGTCTTTACACTGACCTGATACAGATTCAGACGAAGACTTGCAGTCCGTGCGAAATTGCATTGTATCGAAAGCACCAGCACAGCCAATGGTGAGTGTTTTATAGTCCAAGGCACAATTCAAGTCTCTCGCAGAGGCGACGTCCACATCTCTTGCCTTTCGCTCTCTTTTACCATCAGAACTACCTCTTTGAAAATCTTCCCTACCCAAAATAGAACTTCCTCTAATACTACTAATGAATTTTTTCACACTAAAATTGCTTTCTAAATTGTAATCAGTTTCACCGCTAAGGTTTTCTCTAATATCACTGGCCTTAAAATTACTTTTTGTATCACTTGTGGTGTGGCTCCCACTACTAGTACCATTAACATAAATATGTGTATCATTGTCTCTGCTACTTCTAAGAATACGGGGAGTAACGTCACCGCTATCCATGAGTTTACGTAAGACTTTCCGTCGAACGTAACTTTTCATTGAACTTCTCTTGAATCTAATGTTTTTGTGCTCCTCATTTCTAACTATCACTTCTGCAATTTGATTTTGCATTAAATCTCGTTCCATCAGGTTTCTTTGCTCCACAAAGGTAGCCCCGCTAACATCTGGTCGAGACTGGTCTCCAGCAGAGTGAGATGATCTTTGTTTTACCTCTGGTCTGGATACAATGTAATTTCCGGCGTAGGGGCAAAGTTTTTGCTCTGGAACAGTTGCTGAAACAAAGGAGGGATAAGTAAAGAAAGAGTCAGTAGCTGGGAAAATTCGCCCCCTTTAATACACACCTTGTATACTGGGTGGCCTAGACCTATTGCGTACCAGGCTTCTTTCTCCGTTGTTACACTTAGGTCGCGTCAAGTCGGGGGCCGCTGCGGTATGACTTAGGAGCCGACCCAAAGGAATCCGAATTTCGTGATCCCGAACCCCTCCCACCTTCCCCGCTCGGAGTGTAAGGGGGAAGGGGGGGTAACGATCCTAAAAGTCGGTGTTCTAGACTAAAGTGTGAATCAATTATATTAGAACGAAAAGTAACGGAAAATATCACGTGAAATTGACCCCTGAAAATTCGGTCCACCACGGGCCAAAAAATAACTCCGCCTAGGGTTGAGATGTTCACTTCTAGCTGGTCCCAAGCCCAGGTAAAGGAGGAGGGTTGTGCGTAGGGCTAGCAACCCTACCACGTAAAAAAACCCCTTGCTACGAAAAGCATAACGATGCCTCGGTACACATGGAATCAACGGAGAAATCGACCAAACGAGTATGGATCATCGGAAAAAAAGAAAAATGGTAAAGCCAAAAAAATTTCAATGGCAACCTGGAACGTGAGAACAATGAAGCAAGCGGGCAAAATGATGGAGATAGCAAGCGAAGTGGGAAAGTATAACATCGACGTGATGGCCTTGCAGGAAATCAGATGGCAAGGTGAAAGCAAGTTCGACAAGCCCGAATTCAGCATGATATATAGCGGAACCATCGAAAATACCGGTCTATTTGGAGCAGGTTTTATGCTGTCGAGAAAAGCAAGGAAATGCCTGCTTGGGTATGAGAATATCAACGAAAGAATCTGCAAAATCAGAATGAAGGGGAAATTCAGAAATATGACAGTGATATCAGTGCATGCTCCAACTGAAGAGAAAGATGAAGTTGAAAAGGAAAGTTTCTACGACACACTAGCAGAAGTGTGCACCAAAGTAAGTCACCATGACCTCTTATTGGTAATGGGTGACTTCAACGCCAAAATTGGCAAAATGGAAGATCAGAAGCAAGTAGCAGGACACTATATATTACACGAAAGGAATAACGACAACGGGAATATGACAGCACAGTTTGCAGCACGGAATAAACTCTATATCAGAAGCACATCGTTCCCACACAAGAAGATACATCTCGGGACATGGCAAATTCCAGGCAGCGAGGAAGTTAATCAAATAGATCATGTGCTAGTATCAGCAAGGCACCGATCATCGGTGATGGATGTTAGAAGCTGCAGAGGGCCAACCTGTGATTCTGACCATTTCCTAGTGAAAGTCAAGGTTCGAGAAAGAATTGCCAATGCAATGAAAACAAGTGTGCCAGAAACAAGGAGATGGGCAACTGAAAACCTCAACAAGAACAAGGAGGCACGTGAGCATTACCAGGCAGTGCTGGCAAGAAAACTAAGGAAAGAAGAAGTGGAAGGCAATTCAACCCCTGAAGTGGAAGATAATCCAACAACAGAAGTGGAAAATAACCCAGCCCCAGAAGATGTATGGGCTAAAATGGAGACTGCAATAAAGGAAGCAGCTGAAGAGACAATCTGTGAAAAAAGGAGGTGCAGAAACGCAGAATGGTTTGACGAGGAATGTGCGAAGGCTGTTAAAGAAACAAACGAGGCAAGAGAAAAAATGCTGCAAAGGTCAACGAGAGGAAGTGTAGACAGATACTAACAACTAAGATGGAAAGCAAACAAACTTCTCAGGAAGAAAAAGAGACAGGCGGTAAGACAACAATTAGAAGAGATAGAACAGCTAAGCAAACAGAATGAGAGTAGAAAATTTCATGCTGCAATGAGCAAAATGAGAAGTGGGTTTCAGCCCAGAGCAAACGGGTGCAAAAGCAAAGAAGGACGTCTTGTTGAAGAAGAAAGGAACATCCTCGAGAGATGGGCAGAACATTTCAAAGAGCTGCTGTCTGAGAAAAGTAAGGGAGAAAGATTGGAAACAGAAGAAGTGAAAAACGAAGAAAGACAAGATTACCTCAATGAAATACCGACTAGAGAGGAAGTTGCGGAAAGAATAAGGGGACTCAAGAACAACAAGGCACCAGGAGAAGATGGAATAACAGCCAAGTTACTGAAGAATGGGGGAGAGGCACTGATAAACGAAGTACACAAGTTAATCGAATTAATATGGACATCAGAGAAAATGCCAGCGAAATGGAGTATTGGAACCATCTGCCCCATTTTCAAAAAGGGAGATAAATTCGAATGTAAGAATTATAGAGGAATCACTCTACTGAGCGTGGCATATAAAATATTATCCTCCCTGATAAATGAGAGACTCAAGAAAATTGTTGAGAAGGAAATTGGCGAATACCAGTGTGGATTTAGAACAGGGAGAGGCACATCAGACCAACTCTTTGTAATCAGACAAGTCATGGAAAAGTGTTATGAATACGGAATAGATCTCCATCTGCTGTTTGTCGATTTTAAAGAAGCTTTCGACAGCGTAAACAGGAAAGAACTGGGAAAAGCCCTGAAGGAACTACAAGTACCAGAAAAGCTCATTCGACTGATAATAATGACTATGAGTGATACAAAGGCGAAGGTGAAGATTGGGAACAACAAGAGTGAAGTACCTATTCGATTTTAATAAAGATGTAAAACAGGGAGATGGACTATCAGGCACCCTTTTCCTAGTGGCATTGCATGTAGCTGTAAAACATATCGATCAAAGAAGAACAATATTCAACAAGTCCAGCCAGATATGCGCATATGCAGAAGATATAGCGCTAATAGCACGCACGAAAGAGAGACTAATTGAAATATACAAGGAATTAGAGAAGCAGAGCCAAAAACTTGGGCCTGATAGTGAATGTCAGCAAGACCATGTATATGTTATTGTCAAAATCAGAAGTGAGAAGAAAACTATGCAGCCTGTTCATAGACCAGAAGGAATTTGAAGGCGTCGAAAAATTCAAGTATCTTGGCAATATGTTGGATAGTGAAGCAAAAACAACGACAGCAATTAAAGACAGGATACAGGCTGGAAACCGAGCCTATTACGCAAACCTGAAGATGCTAAAGAGCAAACTGTTGTCCAGGAGAACAAAGATGCAAATTTATAAAACGTTAATAAGACCAGTAGTAACGTATGGTGGTGAAACCTGGACCATGACAGAAGGGGACCAGCACATGCTGAGGCGATTTGAACGGAGAATTATTCGAAGAATTTATGGAGCGGTGAAAATCAATGAAGAATGGCGAATTAGAGGCAACCAGGAAATAGAAATGATTCTAGAAAATGAAGATATCGTAAGGTTTATCAAATCGCAAAGGATAAGCTGGCTTGGTCATGTACAAAGAATGGAAGAAGAAAGGATGCCGAAGAAGGTGCTGAAAGCCAAAATATTGTCAGCAAGAAACAGAGGAAGACCTGGGCTTCGGTGGCTAGATGGAGTTGAGCAAGACCTGAAGAAAATGCAAATAAAAGGATGGAGTGAAAAAATCAAAGATAGAGGGATGTGGAGAGGAATTGTTATGGAGGCCAAAGCCCACCCTGGGCTGTAGCGCCGTTAGTAAGTAAGTAAGTAACGGGCCAAAAAATGATCCCCTAAAGAGAGGGACAGTTAATACCCCTCCGTTATTTCTCTCTGGTTTCAAAATTGACCTAGACCCTCATGAAAAGTTGGCAGTCAGGGAATCGACCTTAAGGAATCCGAATTTCATGGTTTCGAAGCCCCCCTAGCCTCCCGGGGGAGGGGGGGTGACAGGGGTGTAACGATACGAATCTCCCCTTTTTGACGTACAGCGTAAAGAGTCAGGTTTTCGAGGCCTCGACAAGGAGACCTCGGAGAAAGATCCGCCGTCGCTACTTCAAAATTGCCAGATGAACTGCAGTGGGAAGCCTGGATTTGGGCGCCATACAGAAAAATAGGGGAGGAATCGAAGTTGAGAGAGTCCAAATTTTTTTTAAATCAAAGGGAAAGAAAAAGGACCTGCACACCTCTTATGGGAAGCTGCACCATGACCGATTGCCTTCTGACTTATGTCATTCGATTCTCCTCAAGATGCTGATCAAAAGTTACCTATATTTGCGCCAACTTTCTACGATGCACCGTTTTCGTAAAAACGCAAAGAGAAGATTCAATTATTCGGCGACTATGAAAGGAAAAGAACAAAGCATTTGAGAACAGGCCCGATGTAAATAAGGAAAAAAACGTAGCGTGTGTCCGTCCTCTTATCTGTACCTGCCGACTCAGGGGCTATCTCCCTCCCGCACTCGCCCGGTAGACGTTCAGACTTTCCTGTTCTTATGCTCCTCAAGAATCTGATTTGGATGGTGGTCGAGCAAAACGGCGTGCGGAATCCGAGATAAGACTGCCGCTCGGTGCGGGAGTCCCCATGATTTCCTTGTTGAAACACAGCCGCTTGTCAATCGAGCACTGAAATGAGGAATCTTTCTGGCTTTTTATCATCGAATAATTGAATCTTCTCTTTGCGTTTTTGCGAAAACGGTGCATCGTAGAGAGTTGGCGCAATTATAACTTTTGATCAGCATCTTGAGGAGAATCGAATATGACATAAGTCAGAAGGCAATCGTCCATGGTGCAGCTTCCCATAAGAGGTTTGCGGGGTCCTTTAGCAGAGCTCGGTTTGATTCTGCTCAGACTGCGCACCAGTAGGTACCTACTTACTTCGCTCTGCTTCTTAAGAAGTCGAAAGCGCTCTTCAAAATTTACAGAGATTTATTATAAAGTTACGTTAAGATTTGGCAACATTTTCCACACAGCATTAATATAAACTTCGAAGGATTACACCTTTTCACTTTTCACTTTTTCATTCATTCCACCCTTTATTCCAATCCGGCGTTGCCAGATTGTGCGATAATGTGAATATTTTACATGGGCTTGAAAGGGGAAACGTACTAGAAAAGCAGCATATCTGGCAAAGTAGAGTCTGGGAAGGACGAGAGACTTTCATCGTGGGATACCCCATGATTTAGGTATCCGGAAGCGTCATTAAAACAATAAACTGGTTCCGTTTGAAGCATCAAATGTATTCTCGGGAAAGCTATTTTAAAATGATAATTGTAAATGGACACAGATGCTACGAAAAAAAGAGTACCTAAAAAGAAAAAAAAAGACGAAAATAAAACGTGGACAGTTCTGTTTTTCTAATTTCTTACCTTCAGTTCAAATATTTCATAGGTACACTTTTTAGTAGATATTCATTGTTTTCTTTTAATCAGATATTTTACTTTAAGTGCCTACGTAAGGTAGTGCTCGACCCCCTCCCCATCATCCCCTTCAGTAAGTCGCCTCTTATAACACGCCCCCCCCTCCCCGAATGCCTCACTTGATATATTGAATTAATATTTGGAGGTGCCTCCGAATATAAAAAAAGGAAGGGGACCCTTTTGAGGATTCGTCTATAATCAGCGCTCCACGCCGGTTCCGGTTAATATTTCCTAAACAATGGGCCCATCCAAATGCGTTTTTGAAGAAATGATCGATCCCCATCATCGCTTCATCTCCACACATTTATTAATGTTTAAATGATGGGACGCGTGAACGTTCGGGTAACAAGTTTCTGTGACAAAATCATTTTTGTCTTGGGAGTCTCCAAAATGTATAGGTGCATCATAGTAATCAAATGTCCAACCACTCAGAAAAAGGGCTCGCAGAGCAAACCGAATCGAGTGACAGTGGGTCCAGGGGGCGTAGCCCCTTGGGTAGCCGTGATAGGTGCGCGAAGCGCGCCCAGAACGGCTAGTATAAAAAATTCTCGCTTATTCTCTAACTTTCGGGCCGAAACTTGAGGGAATTCACTCTAAAACACATGGCAAATGTTCCTCTAAAATAAGTAAAATAAGACGCCCTGCATTCTAGGGTCTGCGCTTGTCTTATGATAACCCACAGAGATATGCGCCTCGGCCCGGGCACCTATCCGCAGTTTCCTCGAAGGAAAGCCCTCTCCTCTAAAGCCACGCTCAAGAGGGAGATGCACCTCAGCTTGGGCACCTCAGCTTGGGCACCTCAGCTTGGGCACCTCGACCCATTTGTCCGAAGCCGTAGAGGTCCAAAGCTAGAGAGTTTTTTCGATAGGATTCGCAGTGCCCCTGCCGGCTAAACTCTCCAACCGCAAACTCTTGCTAGAAACGTAATGTAAGAGGGGAAATGCGAGCTTACCCCGCTGCACCTCGATCGATTAACTGGTTTCAATGCGTGACCATTTGCTGGATTGAAACAACACCCCCCCCCCCCCCCCCCTCGGTGGATTTGGTCTGGTTGGGGGCGGGAAAAGGTGATATCTATTGGGAGGGTGGGGCCGCCTTCAAAAACTGCCCTACAGTCGCAAAATTGACGTAAATTCTCCGGGAAAAGGTAATGTCTTCTGTTATTGACAACGAGAAACTCGAATGTCTCTCGTCCTGTCTGTCTCTTCATGGTCTCTGAGCTCTTCTGACCTTTGATGTCAATAACCTAGGATCCCACCTTTTCCCGGAAAATCCGTGTCAATTTTGCGCCTGAAGAGCAGTTTTTGAAGGAGGCGCCGCCCCCTTCTATAGGGAGTCACTTTTGAGCATTGGGCGAGTTAATTTTAACTCCAGGGGGTCACTTAAGGTTTACTTAAAATGGTTCTACTTCTACTCCTCAATTTGGATGCAATCAATTTGCGATTCGGAAAAAAAACCGACTTTTTGGCGCTTCTGGTTACCAGATGCGCCTGTTGCGTCATCGTTACCATAGAAATGCACTTTTGAGCATCTTTTCGGAATGTATTGGAGTGGAGGCTTACGTGGTTTTTGGATTGTCCTTGTTTTGTACATTTTCTACCTTATCATCCCTTTTAAGTCAAGATATCTTCAGTCTGTTATGTTTGGTATTTGTCATTATTGCAGTCTCTGTCATTAAACTACGTATGTTTCTGTAAGTCAATTGCGTTATTTCTTATGATATAGTTGCACTACAGCTCATAGTCTCAGCATGAGATTGGAACTTGGAGATAACCTCATATTTTTTAATGAAATATGGAGAAACAGCGCCCGATCCAGCCGTGCGGGACCCCCGCCATTAGCATTTTCACCACCTATAGAGCACCCCTGCAGTAAAACACCGCTCAGCTTTAGTTAGGCCGACAACGGGTTTTGAGATCAGGAAGAAAAATTACATGAGAAAGACACAGTAAGCCTTATTTCAAGATAAGACATTTTCCGACGTTCCAACCGGTAGAGATCTACTGCGGGGTGGACCGCCCCAGCTCCGCTTAGGCCGACAGCGGGGTTTGAGAATAGAGAGAGACGATCTGTCGCTTTTCAAACATTTGGAGTCCATTTTGAAGTGGCACACTAAAACGACATAGCGACATCCCTGACGATAAGGAGAGATTTTTTCGATGAATTCGTGTGCTGTAGTTAACAAAACATCGAATATTAATTCAAAAATACACAATGATGACGAGAGGATTAAGAGTACATGCGGATGAAATTCGATGGAACACTTACTGACAAGAGTTATGTACGGCGAAGTCGATGTATCGAAATGACTTCCATTGCAAGCATCTTCTTGCCTGTGAGAGGTCGTGCCTGAAATCCGAACAGAATAATTTAAAAAATGGGTAAAAAAGTGGAAAAGAAGAGGGAAAAGGAAAAAATCCTCTTTAGTAATGCTAAATTGCACATTGATACAATTTATCTTTTGTAGTGGATGCCAAATTTACTCATGTACTCTGTTTCATGTCACTTGTATAAGTTTTGAATAATAAATCATATGTACATAAGAAAAAAAAAGTAATGCTAAATTCCATCGGGCAAACGGCCTGCCGCGCAATAAAAGCTTTCAATGCCATCGCTTCCCTGCTAAAAATTTCCTCTGAGAATTTCACCCAGGTAATTTTAGACAGGAGAATGGCTCCCCTGGGAAGCGGTTCGCCCCAGGGGCAGCTCTCAGTGTGCAGTCTATGGATTTCCGTGCCCAAAATACCGTCCCTAGTAGCAGAGCCATAGAGGAAAAAGATTAAGAATTATATACGAAAATGAGTCTGTTTTACTGCCGAGGCATACTCTTTATTAGGCGTAAACATGATACCATTTTTCACGCACAAACTGATACCACCTTCTTTCTATGTCGTCACCAGTCGTGTACCTAAGGCCTTATCTCGACGGCGCATCTGTTGAGGGAATTAGGTGCAACTGCAGCGAGTTTGTTGCACCAACCGAAATTCCCTGTCTCGACGCGCACGCATGTGTTCCTGGAACTTTTAGGCGGGAATATTTGAACAACATTAATATTTTTAGGTTAAACGATGTCAATTGAGATAACTGAACTGATAATTATGAACGGGAGGTGAATATTTTGCGTTATGTCGACCAGGTATAAAACAAAAAACAATAACATTACTCAGATATGGATAAAAAGAAAATATATTCGATAAAATTTTATTTTCCTGCTGTAGTGATATGCTACAAACGAAAATATAAAATTGATACTGAAATGTGTACAAATATTTCTAAATAATAACCGCTCCGAAAAAAAACACCCGTAATACACTCCCGCTTCACGTGTAACCAGCGTTTATCAATTCAAAACATCGAAGGTAAACAACTGTTGAGGTTCCAGATTTCTGACCTTGAAAGTTTCACTTTTAAGTGAAACATTTTTGAGACACTTCCTTCCTTCAACAGTTGCGCCAATTTCCCTCAAGCCGTCGAGACAAGGCCTAACAACATGATATCAAAATAGACCGTTTTAGTGTTACGTCACATTTCGAGATAAATCGCAATTTTAGGCCTGGTGCCCTATAACCGGGATTTGGTCGGTTCGATATACATGGGATTTCCCGTAAGGAACGGAACTAACCGGGATTTGGTCGGTTCGATATACATGGGATTTCCCGTAAGGAACGGAAAGTCAATTTTCAAACGGTGATTCTGGATAGTTTAAGACCGTTTCTGCCGGATTTTTTTGCGATTATATTCCTTTATATCCTTAAATTTATGTTTCTGCCCGGTGAATCCTCAATATCGCATCGGATAAATGAATTATACCCTTTTGGTCGATGTAAGTCCCAAAAGTGAGGTTATGTAACCTCTTTGTTTACATTCTTCTCTGGGACTCGGAAGAATATTATTTCTTCGTTTTTATGAAAAATGACGAAGCATGGGTAAATTGACGATACGTTACTGAGTTCATAATCATTATCTAATTCTCTAGGTCGTATTATTGCGACGGTATACATATATGTGTAGACATCATGTGGGGATAAGTAAAACTGTAGTTGGACAACCCGCTCACCACTATGGATACTTACTTACCTTTCTCTATACAGGGTTATCCAAAAGTCACTGACCACCCCTGTAACTTTTTTCCAAATTGAGATAGAAGTTTGAAACTTTTGGAATGTTCCTCGGTCTAAAGTAGCGACTTTTTGGTCCCCCCAAAATTTTGGGGGGCGGCCCCCCTTAAGGGGGGCGGGGGCTAACTTTTTTTTTCAAACGGCAACCCCCCCTTTGTGATACCTCATTCGAAAGATAATAAAAAAAGAAAATTTTTGGCGCAAACCGCAGGTCAAAATGTTCATTTTTGACAAAATGGCGGCCGGTCAAAGTTCAAAATTGCGGAAATTTGGCATCTCCGTTGTTTATTGGCGGAATTGGTAAGAAACTCGGAATTCTAGGGTTTTTTGAGATCAGAAAAACGATTCTGGCATTGGTTTTCCAGAAAAGTCAGTCTTTTGCAAAATGGCGGCGGTCAAAATGGCGGCCTAGAGCGGGAAGTGGATATTTAGGCTGCATATCGTTGGATTTGCATGAAACTTGGTATCCGGGGGTATTTCGGCACGAGAAGAACGAATCTTTCATTGGATATCTGAAATTTTGACAAATTCCAAAATGGCGGCGGAAAAATGGCGGGAAATCAGTTTTACGGCTCTTTACCGATGGATTAGCATGAAATTATTTGATATTTCAAGAACTAATGAAAGATTCCTTTTAATCCAGCCAAAAACCGCCAGGATATCGAATTTCATGCAAATCCATCGGTAAACAGCCGTAAAACTGATTTCCCGCCATTTTTCCGCCGCCATTTTGGAATTTGTCAAAATTTCAGATATCCAATGAAAGATTCGTTCTTCTCGTGCCGAAATACCCCCGGATACCAAGTTTCATGCAAATCCAACGATATGCAGCCTAAATATCCACTTCCCGCTCTAGGCCGCCATTTTGACCGCCGCCATTTTGCAAAAGACTGACTTTTCTGGAAAACCAATGCCAGAATCGTTTTTCTGATCTCAAAAAACCCTAGAATTCCGTGTTTCTTACCAATTCCGTCAATAAACAACGGAGATGCCAAATTTCCGCAATTTTGAACTTTGACCGGCCGCCATTTTGTCAAAAATGAACATTTTGACCTGCGGTTTGCGCCAAAAATTTTCTTTTTTTATTATCTTTCGAATGAGGTATCACAAAGGGGGGGTTGCCATTTGAAAAAAAAAGTTAGCCCCCGCCCCCCTTAAGGGGGGCCGCCCCCCAAAATTTTGGGGGAACCAAAAAGTCACCACTTTAGACCGAGGAACATTCTCAAAGTTTCAAACTTCTATCTCAATTTGGAAAAAAGTTACAGGGGTGGTCAGTGACTTTTGGATAACCCTGTATGTTATAAAAAGATTCTAATGAATGCCTATTACCTTAATACACCTTTACTGGGCTTATGCCAATAAGTGCCTGTCAATTTCAGTGTTCGAGAAGTCTAATATTATCGATGAAGTACCTTCAAAATCTTATCGACATCGATAGGATCAAACAGAGACAACTTCTCCACAGCTTCATTTAATGCTAACAGTTAATACTAGAGTCCCTTTATACCCAGAGTTAAGACAACTCACTTTTGGTTGGGCCAGGGTTGGGCTGAAAGTGGCCTAAAAAAAATCCAATTCTGATCGATTCTCGCTCATGGAGGCCAAAACGAGTGCACCAAGATGGCGGTACCTCGAATGTGAACAAGAATAATGAAAATATTACCTAATTATGGTTTATCAAGAGTAAAATTGTTATTTCCATCGGTCCAAAATGAAAATAGATTAAGAAATTATTCACAAAACAATCTAATTTTCTTTGTAATTGATCAATTTGTTGATGTTGTTGTTTTTGTGTGACAGACATCGCAGGATTCCTGATCCTTATCCCTCAATATCGTTCGTTTGGGTGCACTCGTTTCGGCCTCCATGGCCAGCCAAGGCCGGCTGCCAGTCAGCTGACAATCGAGTTGTCTTAATCTTAACTCTGGGTATAAAGGGACTCTAGTTAATACCTAGAACATAGTGTCAGCTCTATTCCCTAGAGTACCTATATTGAGAGAGTATGGCCACTGGGGTTACCACCTCTGATTGGCTAAGCCATCTGAGGCTAAATGGAGCCCTTAGGACCCAAAAATGGCGGACGCCATAAATTAATGTAATGCAAAATGACTCAAAATGTAGTTTTCTTTGCTTATCGTAACGAGAAATTTACTCAAATGCACTATTGCGACATCTTTACATATTTTTAAGGCTAATCGTGTGCAATTTTTGAAAAAAATTATCTTAGATGTACCTAGTAAAGTTGGCAGCAAGTGCGGTTGGTGATAACCGTCAAAAGTTGGCAATGACCCCCCTCCCATCCACAAAAACCAAAACAAACCACCGCCATTTTTGGGTCCTAAGCCTCTCCATGGGGCCCAGTGGCCATACTCTCTCAATATAGGTACTCCACTATTCCCTGAAGATATCAACTGAAATTGATTTAAACAATACTACCTATGAATTGAAATGTTTAGAAAGATAAATTATGGATCATATGAAACAAAACTGAGTGATTCATGGCTGGAACGAATGAAGCGCAACACTTTAGGAAGGAGAAAACAAATATTGGTGTCTAATATTAAACTAGGATGAATAACTCTAGGAACTCTTGCGGATGTTTAGGTTTTGTCATTACAGATAGAATTTAAGAGAAAAACCAACGTAAGAGACGCGCAGAATAGTTTTTTTCATAAATAAGTGATGAACAGAGTCCAAAATTAGAATGTAAACAAAGAGGTAACATAACCTCACTTTCGAGTCTTACATCGACCAAAAGGGTATAATTAATTTATCCGATGCTATATTAAGGATTCACCGGGCAGAAACATAAATTTAAGGATATAAAGGAATATAATCGCAAAAAAATCCGGCAGAAACGGTCTTAAACTATCCAGAATCACCGTTTGAAAATTGACTTTCCGTTCCTGCTTACAGGAAATCCCATGTATATCGAATCGACCAAATCCCGGTTAGGGCACCAGGCCATGGACCAAGAGAATAAATAAGGACCCCCAACTCCGGTTAGCGCTGACATCAGCGCTCCCTGGCAGAGGGTGTAGTGAACTAAACCGACGATTGGGTCCTCCTGTTTACATTTCCATGCACCACCTATTTAGGCTCATCACTCAGTAGTGCCAGAGTTGCTAAAAGAATTTTCATGAAATTTCTTTTTTCCCAATGAAATTTCTTTCGACCGACAAAATGTCAAAAATGCTTATTTTTTCTAACAGAATTTGTTTTTATTTTCAAAGAGAATAATATTCGTCAATTAGACCAGTTGGAGCGCGGTCTTCTCTCAGCTCTTCTCTTCTGGTCTTCTCTTACTCTTTCTCTTCTGGCAGTTCTGGCTCATCATGGGGAGGGGGACCGGGGACCCTAACCTCAAATTTCAAACTGTTACTTTCTGAAAAAATCAGAGACAAATGAAAAAATCATTTAAATTGTTTCAAAGATAGTTCAAGATCCCTCCCTTTTGTACCAAAAAAGAACGATATACTATTAGGGGGTAATAGGATTCTTTATAGTCAAGAAATTTGTTTTGCTCCAAATATGAAAGCTAACGTCTTACTTTATCCGTAAAATTTATTTTGGTGTTCAACCGGTACGGCTGTGTGTTCAACCAAAATTTAAGATAAAAAATTCAAAATTATGTTTTTGCTGTTTTACTCAACTTTCTGGGCATTTCTAAAGTTCCCTTTCACAGTTTACCACGTGCCCATAAATGAACTTAAGGAGATTCATAAGTTTCAAGGGTTTAATCCTGAATTCTGCGTGTTAAATGAAATTTCTTTTTATAATCTTTCATGAAATTTCTTAACTCTGAGTAGTGCTCATAGAAGTTTCTAGATCCTCGTATCCTCGTGGTCGCCCTGCAGTTTTGAAGAGTTTAGTGTGAAAAGTTTCCCATTTTCATTTCAATCTTCGTCAGTCTTCGGGTACATAAACTGGTAATAATGTGAAGTGTTTTTTTCTGACCGTTTTACTCAGCAGCAACTGCTGTTGAGAAAGCCAAAGGAAGTGTGTATGTAGTGTGCAGCAGGAATCAGGATTGTACTTTTAGCCGAAGGCGCTTCTCTGTTAAGTGAAATCTTTTTAGTGAGAAACAGTGTTGTACTGATAAAAATCAACTGAGTGTCACAAAATCAAAGATACTTGACTTCAAGCATTACCTTTAATTTGATTATTAGCAAGTCTCTTTGATTCTGCGTCAGAGGTTGACTGAATCATCTTTGCTCGTGTTTTGATAAGATACTTCAAATCAAAGTCTTTCGCATTGACCTCTGCAGAAGGTATGTATCTATACTATTTCATTAGTTTGCGAAAGTAAAGTGTATTAAAGTATCTAAACAAATAAATAAATCGTAGATAAACAAAGAACATTGCATGGAATAACATACTCTAGAGGCATAGAGAAAAAAAAGGAGGTGTTTGCATTTCGGGCATCTTGGAATATTTTGATGACTTGATGACGTAGGTGGGTACAGCGACGTCCCATTCACGCTGTACCCACCTACGTCATCAAGTCATCAAAAAATTCCAAGATGCCTCTAGAGGTACGATCGTGGACCATTGTAGCGTTAATTCACCGCACCCTCTGCCAGGTTCGCTGCAAGCGCGCGGTAACGGTTTTTAACACAGGTTTCAATAGGGAGTTGGGAGTCCTTACTTGTTCTCTTGGTCCATGACCAGGCCTAAAATCGCAATTTATCTCGAAACATTACGTCATCACTAAAACGGTTTATGGTATCAACATGGTCGTTTTAAGCAGGTACCTAACGATGCGACTTTTGACTATTAAAAGTAATGGATAATAAATGGGATACATGCCATACTTCTCGATGAAAGTTGACTCGGTGTTGTTGATCAAAAGACATCCGCCCGCGGACTTCTGAAGCTCAACAATCATTCTGCCGTGCGAAGAGAGCCGTAAGTGCAAAATGAAGTTTGGCGAAAACTAGGCGAAAACGGGCTCAGAAGCTTCTGACCGGAAAATGTTACCTATTGACAGAAGCCCCCGTTTTTGTCAAATTGCCCCTAACCATCCGAAAGGCTCTTAGAAATCGTTTGGATGATCATAAATCGACCGATTTCGTTTCAAGTGCATAAACGTGATATTATTCATTTTCATGTCAGGCTATATAGCCTGACATATATAAGTGGCAAGACAGCCGTAAGTGCTATCTTGGTTTCGTGTTTTCGTATTATGCTTTCGTGGTTGAGTTTTGGACACACATCAAACTAGAGTACCTTTATAGACAGAGTATGGCCATTCGTACCTTTTTACTACAGGAAAACTGTTCCGCTTTTTGATTGGTCAACGAGTTTTTAGGCTTCATCAGGGACCAGTTCTATAGGACCCTGGACTCCCGTGAGAGTCAATGTAAAAATTCATGAGTAGGTACTAGTGCTGCTATCTCGCGTAGGATCCTCGCAACTCACTGCTGTTATCAGTTGTTGGACTTCATTAAAATCCGTAGGATCGCGTATAACTGCAAAAAATCGAATTTTTCACCGTACTGTTACATGCGGCGAGCCCTTCCTTGTTGAAAGGGGTCGAAAAACGCCAAAAATATACTTATTCTTCAAGAATTCAGCCGCCTTATGTGTTATTTTTCAATCTCCGGCTTAACCTCACTTTTGGAGCGGGCGATGGATGAGTCGAGGTTAGGGGGAAGGATCCTCTGAGTTGACTAGGATCCTACGCGAGAATGCGCTGCAATCACCCGCTCACAACAGAACGGCGTCCTATAGAACTCGTCCCTGGCTTCATGATGCTCTTAGGGCCGTAAATAAACAAACAAGATGGCGGCTCACCGTAACATTGATGAGAAGCTAAATTTGACAAAAATTTCAATTATGCGGCAGTAACAATTTAAACGAGCATATCTACGAACAGCACACGAAAAACACATGAAAACATTGTTAAATTGCCTTTCACCTTTATCACAGGAGGATGTAAGATGTGCATAACCTCAATCTTGCTTGCTGATAACGGCCATCTTCTTTGTTTATTTACGGCCCTAAGAGCATCGTGTCAGCCTATTCGCTCGCGACCAATGAAAAACCGGAACAGAAATGGCCATACTCTGTCTATAAAGGTACTCTACATCAAACACATTTTTAGGTTAGAAAATCACAGACGAGGGCAGCTCTTTACTTGAAACCACTATTTTCATTGGCTCTCTGGAGGAATATTGTCCTTTACTGCTGTCTTTCCTAAAACTACCATTTTTTGCGCAATTACGGCCTCTCATATGTAGGTATATTCGTTTTGATATAATTGAGATGAGTTTTGCTGTTTCAGCTGCCTTTGCGATTTCATCTATAAAAGTTTAGACGAATTTTGAAGGAAACTCGATTTCGAAAATTTGACAATTACTGCTCTCTTCGCTATCACGGCACCCGCCATGTGGGGGAATGCAAAGACATTTTTTCACTGCCCCACGCATTGTTTCATTGCCCCATGCTGTAAATTTTTTTACAAATACCAGCTTATTTCATGGGGCAACAATCTGCGGGATATTGAAACGTAATCCCCCCCCCCCCCACTCCGACGGACGTTCCATTTTGATGCCAGTTTGGGCGTCTGGAAAGGATGAGACATCGCTCTCTTGATTCAGTAGTTCGAATTTTAAACTGAAAGCGAGTAAAGCACTCCCAGCGTATACGACTTCATGTACCTAATAGGAAATTTTTTTCTGGGCTTTCAAATGGTGTCACAAGATGACTGACAACCGTTTTTCCAGAATTTTATTGAACTTTCTCAAATTTTCTTCTAGTGATGCGCTAGCAGGTAAATTTCGACCCTCACTGCGCCCTCTCCGGAAATTTCGAGAACTTTCTCGGACTTTTGAGAAGAGTGGTAGGAACGAGATGAGTCAAAGGTCGTAAAGCGACGAGTGGCAGTTGTCTGTGAAGCTAACTCTAATTTACTTGAATTATTAGTAAAAGGAGCGTGGCTCGCACTCGCAGAGCGAGTAATGGGGTGCAGCAGGGCGAAACCCCCTGGCTAGCCGTGGAGCCGACCTTTTTAAATGATCAGTTTTACCACGGAAAAGTAGGAATGTAAAATGTACAGCGTTAAGCTAATTGATAAATAATAAGACTGAAAAAGTTCTGTCGCACAATTTAGACACTTAGGTTAGGTATTTAAATATTCTGTCGGAGAGCCTACCTGTTTGAACTTCGATGACATGATCGTCTCGTTTGTAAAACGTCAAACAAACGAAACCACTTTGACTGAAACAGAGGAAAAAATCCCGTCTTGAAAAAAAAAGCCCATATAAAGAATACGCGCTAGCGCAGTTATACAGGGTGTACCAAAAGTCCGTCCCACCCCTGCTAACTTTTGAACGAATTGAGCTAGGGTAATGAAACTTTGAGAATGTCCCTATCTCAAAGGGGACCATCTTTTTGGGGGGGGGGGTCAAAATTTTGGTTCCCCCTCAGGGGGGGCGCGGGGGCCCCCAACTTTTTTTTTTTCAAATGGCAACCCCTATCTTGTGATACCTCATTCAAAAGAGCATAAAAAACTAAGAATTTTAGCGCAAACCGCAGATCAGTATCTTAATTTTTGACCGAGTTATGATAGGTCAAAGGTCAAATTTGACCTATTTTCAAAAAATCATAACTCGGTCAAAAATTAAGATATTGATCTGCGGTTTGGGCCAAAATTCTTAGTTTTTTATGCTCTTTTGAATGAGGTATCACAAGATAGGGGTTGCCATTTGAAGAAAAAAAAGTTGGGGGCCCCCCGCGCCCCCCCTGAGGGGGAACCAAAATTTTGACCCCCCCCCAAAAGATGGTCCCCTATGAGATAGGGACATTCTCAAAGTTTCATTACCCTAGCTCAATTCGTTCAAAAGTTAGCAGGGGTGGGACGGACTTTTGGTACACCCTGTATGTAGGTACATTAAAACAAGTATCAAATCTACATTTATCTTGAATAGATAAGTATGTTCTCTCAAATCCTATCTTGCATCTATACTAATATAATTGCGTGATAAAGTACCTAAAGACGACATAAAAGGAGGAATGCCTATTTTTACAATGCTAATTTTTATTTACATATCTCTTGGGATTGAAATTGAAGCGCAGTCTCTGGCCCGTGGGGAAATATACTGAATGGGGTCCGAACAATTTTTGGGCTGTACCTATGTAAACGTCAGTTCAACCGAACCCCAAAAATTTGAGCGACCAAGGGAGTCCTTCAATTCGGATTCTGCTGCCAAGAGTTACAAGGTGTGACGTACGCCAGAACTTCAACCCACATCATTATATTACAGCTCTAAGCGCGCCTAAAAATCGCCGAAAATTCATGCCAGACCCACCGACCAGTCACCGCTCCCGGTGGCAGCCTCCCTCCCCCTCCAGGCGCTGCGACGCCCGTCCCCCTCCGGCTTCTGGGTAGAATCCCCGCCGCACCACGTACCGCGCCGCGCTCATCGGCCTCTAGAACACTACGCAGCCACGGCCAGTGGTTCCTTTCCATCCTTCTTTTGACTATGTGAACACTTTGAGCAGTGCAGTCGGTACCAGGGAGGCTCCTCTTTCGTTCTTCCAAACCTAAGGAGGATGTCTCATGTCGACGAGTATAACTTCTTCTGGAATTTTCTGGAACTCTTTCGAATTTTCATAACTCAGGTGACAGTCAGTGAAACGATGACCCTCATTAATCCACTCCAGAACTTCATAGAATTTTCTCGGACTTTCGTAAGGCGTCATGACTGACAACACCTATCTTTCTCGAACGAAATTAATTTGAAAATGATATTGTCCGAACTCTCTCTAACTTTCTCCAGGCGATGCGCAATTAAATCGAAGCCTTTGGTGTGTCCTTTCGGGAGCTAAAGTATGCTTGGATTTTTGGAAGATTTTGCAGGACGCCGTTCTGGAACTTTCTCGAAAATAATCAAAGTGGTAGTGACAGGAATGTGGCTCGTACTGCGTTAGCAGCTCCAAGCGGAGTCAATGGGAAAACCTCCAACTACAAACCGAAATTATCGGATGACAAGAAAGCAAGGAGCATTGTTGGTTGCATGCTCGCAAGTAAATATCCATCGCGTTTCAAGTTCAGCATGATAAATTTATTGAACTGCGCAGTTTTCATTATCCGTTCCCGCCGAAATTTTATTGCGGTCGTAGGTATTTCTTTATTTCTTAGTACCATTTGGACGCATTTCTACCAAACAGACCTATGTGAAGGTGAGGAATATGGGGTGTGCTCGTCGAAGCTGCATGAGAAGCAATGTAAAAGTGGGCATGATTCCTTTTGAAGAATTGGAAAAGCGGGATTTTACATTCTATCAAACAGACCTATGTGCCAACTGAATGCGAGATTCATGAGCCGCGGGCATGGCATGAGAACGTTGTGGACAGGGCTCACGAGTTAAAGCGTCCCGACGACGATCCCCCCCTCGCTCGAGTGCGCACTATCATTGCCGCTGACGTCACCGGCGCTTTATTATTCCCATTCACTCTTACGGCCAGAGAACTAACGAGCACACCCCATATTTCTCACCTCCACATAAGGTGAGGTTGGGTAACTGGGCGGTGGGGTAACTGGGCAGTACCCTCTGTATTTCTACCAGATTAGTGCAAAAATTGTTTTCACTATTGGCATACCTTCATTATGACGTAAACCATCTAGAACATGTAAACATAACTTCAAAAAAAAATTTTATGGTGAATGGTGAAGTGCCGAAAATTGGACAGCTTTTTTTTCAAAACAACGCCGGAGGTGGTCCCGAAAAGAGCCTCATATCTCACTCCCAGCAAGTATTTTATTCAACTTTGACAATTCTTCTTCATGTATGATGTATTTGTGTAATGCGTGAGTAATTACAACGTAATTGGATGAAAATACTGGCTGCAAAGGGTTGATGCCCAGTTACCTTGAAAATTTTCCCTTTGTGGGGTAACTGGACACCCACTCCAAGGTAACTGGGCAGGTGGCAGTGGTGGCACCTGCCCAGTTACCCATTGCAAGGTTGCTGTGCTTCGGTGTTTGTTTACTTCTGAAAATGTCAAAACTAATTGACTATTGTGGACTTTTAAGTGCCAAAGACCAATAATCAGGGTTCCCAGCACACTAAACTTCTAACTTAAGTCAATTATAGCATAACTTAAGCATTACTTAATTACATTTTTGCCGCTAACTGTTATGACATCACTTTTAACGACTTAAACATGGTTATATAAATTCAAATGAAATTCTCTGAAACCCTCATGAGAAGGACATTCTTTTCTGGCCAATGAGAATTACAAATAATGCCCCC